TATATATATATAATGTCAATGTGCTGATATATATTATGCACATAAAATGTCAGCTCATAGTCCAAACTAAGAGCATGAAAGTGAATATTGAAAAATCAAGTGATAACGCTATCAAAAATGTTTGATAATACAATCTATCAACAGCCTTCTATGATATATCTGTTATGTACCAAGCACTTTAATACCCAGTGTGAGGAGCCCAAAGAAATACAATATATGAATCCTCATTTAATTACAGAGTAACTGTAAAGCATTCCACTATGGAGAATGGCAGGCCTTTAATTTTATGTCTTCATAAGGTAAATGCTTCCTTACATATTCAATGATTAGGAAATGTCTACAATGAACATAGGTAATAGTATGGGGACAATTTGACAGCACAATATAGCCACTGGTTTGTGAATTCTGTTTCAAGGTTGACAAACATCAGTATAAATTTAGACTATATTGGAAGCATTGCAATTTACATAAATGTTGTCTTTTCTCAAGAATGTGTAATTTTTCATGGAAATTTATCTTGCCTGGACTTATATTATAGTTTGTGCTGTTCAGATACCCTAGGGAGTATGGCAGTTTGATGATACATAGAGTTAGTTAGCTTCTCAGAAAATTAAAAAAAAAAAAAAGCTTAAGAGACAGAAAGTGATAGAACAGTTGAAAGTACATGTAATTCATGAAACCTGCAGAACAATTTGCTATTTTTATTTGTTCTGCACCTGATAAAATTATAGAAAATGAAAAAGAAGACAAGTTATGAGGGCAGGAATGATTGATTACTAGTGTTCAATTGCTAAAGAAGCAACCACAGCCAAACAAACTGAAAAGTGCTCTGACTGGATGGTTAATGGCAACCTCCAGTTCATTTATATCCTCTACTGGCTTTTATTCAAGCCAGATGTGGGAAGCCCAGTCAAAGGCCCTGGGTATTATTTTGAAAATTTCTTGTCCTGTGAGGTCTTGCCTTAACCATCCCAAGACAAAAGACTCATTCATTGTATCTACACTCTGAAAAGGATGACAATTTACAGCACTCTGACTAAACTCAGTCCTTAGACAAAACAAAAAACAAGTGTAGCTGCCTAAAAGCATGCCTGAGATTAACACACAAGAGTCAAGATAACCTCCCTGTCATGTTCACAGGAGAAAGCTAGACAGAGTAGAAAATACCTATTACTATTGTTACTCCAAGTATCTCACTAAAATGAGCAGATGGCTCAGTTCTAGTCTTTACACGTCTCCTTAATAGTTTATTCAGGGAGAAATATTAAGACATAAAGAAAAAGAGTTAAGAATTTACACTCTAGCATCACTTCCTAACAAGGGAGTTTGTGTCCCTCTATGAAAAAGGTATACCCCTTTGGGTATCCCTCACCTGCCCCCATCCAGAGCGCTCTGCTCCCTAAAATACTTTGGTAGGGATCCATCTTAACTACTCCGTCCCTTCCTTTGGCCTCTGACTAGATTGTGGAATATGAGTGGAATGGGGGCAGGGAAACAAAGGGGGAACAGGTGTTCTTTGGGATTTTGGGGGGTGAGGTAAGGTGAAGATGCAGCTTGTACAGAGCACAGAATTAGAAATCTTGGTTGGAGGGAGGGGAGTAGTTCCCAGAATAATTTTCTTTTAGGAAAAATCCTAGAAATCATAGAAGCTTGCAGTAGAAGTTTATATTAGGTAATTTCAATGATCTTTCCAGATTAAATAGGTTATCTACCATTAAAATTAAGCACACGATCCCTATCAGGTATATAATAGAAAGACACCACCAATTTGCTCTATTCTATTTTGTGTATTCTTCCAGAGATTAATACTGGATTTGAAATTAATGATATAATCATAACACTGTTGCCAATAATTGGATGTTTATCTGATTGGATGGCAGAGTGCCTCATCTTACATTCCATTTTTTAAAAATTACTTTTGATTTTAATTTTATTGCTCCTTTTATTTGTGATGGGAATAATATTCTTTCAAATTAGCCCTCTGAAGTGTAGCAATATGCTGTCTTTACAAGTCTGTTAATGAAATCTCTAAGTATAAGTGATTCTCTCTCTCTCAAGGCTTAGTACTTGGTCCCTAGCAGTGAGCTTCCAAAGACCAGCTCAGATGACAGGCAGTATATTCCAAGCAATGAGGTATTTTAAGCTAAAACAATTAAGCTTGGAAACATAGGCACTTTAAAAGTAAATTATAGTGACTAATTTCTAGCTCTCAAATCCCTCCCAATGTTTATAATAGGTTTGCGGTATATTTCTAATTGGAAATCCAAGATGGTTTTATCCTTTAGTTGCAAATTATTTTTGGATCTGACTCACGAATACTCTCACACTAACAATATCCCACCACACACTGGACTGTCATCCTGCATGCAACAGAGAGGATAATTTTTGGGTAAGAAATAATCATGTTGCCCAGGAAATAAGAGCATGGTATTATCTCATAATGAATATAACCACAAGGCAGCCCCTTACCTCTCAGAGCCTTCAATATAATAGGATTAAGCCATAAATGTGGAGAAGGTAATTTTTGTATTGTCAGATCTCTTTGCATAATACATGAGACTAAATTAATGGCAAGTGTACATGGTCAGTAGTGCTCATTCATCACTTTGGATCTGTTTCTCATATTAAACACTCGTAAGCAGGAGGCTGCAGCACGGGAAGCCAGAATTTTGAATCCTCAAAGACAGTACTTTTCTCATATTGTGTAACATTTGAAGTTTCTGCCTTTTGCATACAAAGAAAAAGAAGTTAAGTTAAATGAGCACCAGAGTAGCAATATGTGGAATCCTAGGTTATTGATTTAGTCTATGAAAGTGGACAAATTCTCAGGTCTGGAGTCTTGAAATATGAATACAAAGATGGATGTGATGGTCTATTTGCTCATGAAAGCAAGCTGAATTCCTTCCACTGTAATCACTGACTGCTTCTCCTTCCCCTAGAGATACACTGTATGTAGTAGAGGAAATGTTGATGGCCCCCAGGGCCCAGCCTTTCTTCTCAATTAGCTGTCAGTTTGATCTGTAGTGAAACAAAATCATTGTAGCTATGCCTACACTCTGCTGGAGAGGGTATTGGAGCTAGTTAGAAGGAAAACCATCACATATGGATGGCTATTTGACTGTCAATTTTCTTGGTATGAAATTCGTGTAGGTGATATGGGCTGAACAACAGTATGAAAAAGAGAGAAGTAAACGTTCAGTTCTAAGAGACTCAGCACTAAATCTCTTCAATGATCCAATGTGGAATCAGCAATGGTACTTGGTAAGTACCTGCAGAAGGACTGTGTGGGATGTGGGTTGTTTCTCTAGTTACATTTATACAGTGCATTTTTTTTTAGTAATGAAGAATTCATCAGAGGACTATGTTATCTGGAGACTAGGGAGAATGGGACCTTTCATGATCTGAATCTTCTGTTTAATATGAGTGTCTGAAACACAGATTTTGAGCTGCTAATAGAAGAGGTGTTGTTGCCTCTTTGTCTCCTTAAGCTCATCTGGAGTAAGTACAGATGAATCATGTCTTACAAGTTAATGGATCCAAAACAATACTTATGAAAAAAAAAATCACACTTAGTCAAAGTTATTCTTGAACACCCTTAAGGCACTCCCAGAGTACAGTAAACATGATTCAGTAAGAACAGCCCTAAGTGACATTGCTCACATGCATGCTACAGGTAAAAATTTCTGAAGTAGGCTAAGAAAGGAAATAAGCAAAGTCTATTTGCAGACTTGTAAGCCTTTCTATCTTTAAGACAGTTACAAAATTCTTATTGGAGTGGCAAAATTCTGATTTTTTTCCCAGTTGCCTGCAGTGTTCTCTATTCTGTTTTAATATCAATCCTCTATAAAAGTAATATGGGTTAACAGAAGTGTTTTTTGTTGAGAATATTACAAAAAAGAATTTTCTGTGATGATTTAAGCTAAGCTTAGGCATCCTTGTTACATAATGAATGATAAAAGACATCAGTTCTTCTTGACACTTAGTTTAAGTGGCACAGTCCTGGCTCACTTCAACAGAAGAGGCTTATTAATAAACATTTATGTGTGACTGTGTGCCAAATACTATTTTGTCTGATATGAATTCATTCATTTAATTATTGCATTATGTTTCGATAAAATAATTGTGCCCATTCAACAGATAAAGAAACAGATATTGGCAATTTGAGTAACTTTCCAAAATCACATGGTTACTAGTATGGCTCTACAAGCCATATTCCTAATAACCACACTCTATAATCATTCTTGTGACCAGCACAAAGACCTCCTTCTCTGACTTTGGCCAAAAAATCTGTGATACTGTCTCACATTGGCCTGTCAAGTTATTGTTTTCCCGTACCTCTTTCTGAAGAATGTCAGCCATCAGCCAGGGGGAAAACCATATATTGATATTTTTTATTGATCTCATTTATAAATTTCTTATTGACCTCTTCACCGATGCCTGACATTCTTCTAATGCATCGCTCTAAAATGCTTGTTGATATGTTCCTACCTGTGCAGAGGAGCACAGGTAAATCACTCAGTTCTTCTTGACACTTAGTTTAAGTGGCACACTTAAGAAACTTAGGGACAAACTTTTCCCCATACAGTCTCCTAACAATCAGCTTAGTTATATGAAAATGAAAACTCCAAGTTTCTCTCCCTGATACTTATTTCTTAAAGCAGTCATATTGGAAAATTATGAGTATTGGTAAGGCAACGTTTCCCCAAGCACTGCAAGTTATGATTTTTTTTCTTTCAAAAAAGTCATAAAGCATTTATGAATGACTGTGAAACAGGAAACATAAATAGGTTCAGCATGACAACGTAAGCTCAGGATATTCAGTAAGATGGAAACATAGAACATCAAATAAAGCTTCGGTAGATGAAAAGCTTGACCATGTAATTATAAATGAAAGAAACTTAGGGACAAACTTTTTCAAAGCCTCATAGTGGAAAGAGAAGGGGCACAGGGTGATTCATCCTTCTGAGTGATTTTCCATTGGAACAATTGGGAGAAGAACAGCACTCTGATGACTCACTTGGCCCTACTCTCAACTTTATTTTCATTTTACCTAGTTGCCTTCTTCTCAAGAGTGACCCCAACAAAGGGAAGGTGGCTCTCCAGAATGTAACTTCAGTTATCAATTTGCTGTAAGAAAATCGTGTGTGTGTGTATGTGTGTGTGTGTGTTTATTCAATGCTTCTTTGCTTTTCTTCACCAGCAAGATACCAGGATGACTGCTGCCTTGCCCAAGCTGGATCTCCATGTGATACCTGTTTGGCAAAAAGGCATCACAGGCAAAGGAATTGTTATCACTGTATTGGATGATGGCTTGGAGTGGAACCACACAGACATTTATGCCAACTATGTGAGTCTGGGCCCTCTCATCACTGCCACTTAGGAATCGTCTGTATAGACACACAATTAGAGCTCTTTTTCCATCCGTTGAAGACTGTCTGTTAACTTGGCTCTCCAAATGATGGAACAAGGTTTTACTTCATCTTCTCATCAACCATAGAAACATGTTTTGTACCAGTGAGAATTGAAAGAATTCAGTGGCGCCAAGGAATATACAAAAAGCATGTGCCTTGGGGCTGAGGGTAGATATCTACACCAACCAAATTATTAATAGTTATTCAGTCTCTGTGTCACTCTGTCTTTGGGGTAATAAGACAATTAAATCAAGTCTGACACCTGAGGTCATATCCACGGTCTTCTTTTTCCTATCCCTATGGGTTACTTTCTCTGATGTTGTAAAGTTACATGAATATGATTTCTTCCATTAAAATCAAGAGTGCTCACCACACAGTACAAAGATGGCAAGCTGAGAAATGAAAAGTTTACTAGAAATGGGAAAATTCTAAATGAAAATGAATTCCTTAATTGTTCATGAAGTTCTCCATCATAGATTAGCAATTTCTCTTTAAGATTATTTTTTGCTTTTCTCTTATCCTTCCACCCATCCAACATTCCGTAGTTAAAGAGCAAAGGGAAGGGAAAGAAAAAGGTTAGCAAGAGTATGAATTATTGGAAGAAATAGAAAAGTAACAAGTAAAGGTTGATGGGGTTCCTATATGGAATAAGTTTAAGTGGAGCCGTCTGGTTGGAAAAACAGGGGTGGACCTTTAAATTAACTCAATAATTGGTGCACCTGTGGAGGCTGGAGGAGATCACTTTAGATCTACAGCACCCAACATTCTCCTCTTTAAACCTGTACACATTATAAAGATGACTGCCAAAGCGTCATTAAGTAGCTTTATAGCTTAGTTGAGTCTTTCAGCTTCCCAAAGCCTCAAATTTCTATTTTAAAAATGAGGTTTTTGAACTAAATGAACTTTGGCCTTGCAGATTCTTTGAGCTATAGGTTTGGTAGCATTCAGTAAGAACTGGATGCTGGCTTGCTTTGCTGTGTACATCATATCTGTCTAGTCTGTGAGGATAATGACTAGTGACTGGACCTGAAACTCTGAAATAGAGACTTTTTAACTGTCAGCCAGGATAGGAGGAGGTGATACTTTTCAAATGATGCTACAGTATTATTTTTGATGTCTTTTTAGGATCCAGAGGCTAGCTACGATTTTAATGATAATGACCATGATCCATTTCCCAGATATGATCCCACAAATGAGAACAAGTGAGTAAATGTGGATTTGGTCGGAACAGGTCTTCAAAATGCTTTCATCTAATTTGAAAAAAAAAATACTGTAAATATGATCTACACTTCATTTCTCAGAAAATCTTCATGTACACTGTCCATACCACAATATTTTGCTGCTTGAAAAACATAAACTAGAGCTTCTATTTTGACTTTCATTTTGCTTATAGAATATTTCAATTAAACTTTCTTTTACTATTGTGAAAGTCTCTTTTCAAGTGTTACTGAATATTTATAACTCTAGAAAGAATGTTTGGAGCATAAAGAGTAAAAAATTGAGCCTCTGTTCCACTAAGAATCATTTACTGTTAGCAACATGCTTGATGTTAGTCTTGAAAAGAAAAATCTATGAACAAGAAAACAAATCTCCACAGCTCCTTCTCATAGCCACAACACACTTACCAACTCCCCAGTTCAAGGCCTGGCCCCTGAATCTCTGGAAAATCAACTACTTTTTAGCCTATTCCCATAGAAACTTCACTCTCTATACGCATCTGATAGGAGCAAAGCAGAGACAAGTCAATTTGCTGATCCAATTTAGAATCTACTATTTGAAAATTACACAATAAGCTACTACCTCTCAGGGTCCTCTTGACTATCAGTGAGAAAGTAACACCACTATCATTTATCAAAATATTGCCCTTCTAGCTTGTTATCAGACATAAATCCTTTAGGTTTGGAAAATGAAAGCCCCATTTTGTCTTGGCCTATAATCTTTGCAATTTATCTGTGTTGCTGCTGTTCTTATTATGATGCAAATGATAGTAACAGAAGCTTCATTTGAATACTCTGCAAATCAAAAGAAGTTTTCACCAAATAAAAAAATCTTCATATGCAGGTAACTCTTACCATTAAGCTGGCATGAATCTGCATTTATAACAATTACAGATTATTTTCCTACTTAAATAGATGTGTGACAAGGATATTTTAACCAGTAGAATAGTACTCTTTAAGCTATCCTGTGGAATAATTAGTTAAAATCCATTTGTTTAAAAGCCAGCTACTACCATTGTTCTATGATAAAAGAAGATTCTTTTATATTAGAGCTTGATTTAAGGAAAATAGGGGAAAGAAGTGCCAGACCTGCAAAGAATGACATAGAGCCACTTGATAAAGTGATCCCTTATTCTTAAGGTGTGGAGGAGGTGATAATAAGAAGAGAAAAAATATCAACCCAACTTTATATCATGATCCTACCACCTTTCTAGAACATAGTCCTGAGTGTGAAAGGAGAGAGAAAGAATAGGTTATGTCACATCACATCACTTGTAGGACAGAGATACAGCTGCTGATGAAGTTTGCCAACAAGGTTGATTGGCACAGGCTGGAGACTTTGCACTGAATTCTTTATTATCCTGGGTCTTGTCACCTGAATAAATGGAAATACAAGTGGTGCTGACTTCCAGGAGCACATTTGCTAGGCAATAGAACTGACTTTCTCCTATAGAAGCAAAGAGAGTTAATTCACCAAAGGAGCATAAGAAGTTTTGTCTATTTCCAGCATGCACACAACTAAGAGAATCAGGTATTGCCAGGCAGCTGCTGTTGCAAATGAGAGAATCGTAACTTGAAGATTCATTAATGAGGGGTTTAAAAAATAATTTCACCCAAGAGATGAATGAGCATTAGAAGTTCCTGGAGCCCAGATAATATACCTTCAGGACACTGACTATTCTGGCCCCAAGTCCTAGAGCTGTTCACCTCCACTGAGCTTCATTCTAGGAGAATCTTTCCTGGCAGGAGATCCACAGGGCTCACACTGTGAACTTAAAGCTCAAGATTCCAGAGGGGAAAACAAGTTCTATTCTCCAGAATCTGCATAATCCTTGAAAACTCTTTAGGTGAAGGAGCCTCAGGAAAAACTCACAAGGAGTTAGGGAGGGCCACTTCCTTTTTGCTAAAGACAAAAAGGAAAAAGATATCAACTGCACTGTAGAAGACTCCAAATGAAAGATAATTTTATTGTTCTGACTTCCTATCCAGTATTAACATCAAGAAGCAGGAATATATTTAGTGAAAAGGGACCAGGGAATTGTCTTTAGTACTTTGGGGAAAATGTATAAGTAAAACAGAATTATTTGGGGTGTCACAGTCAATTTCAAATTTCTATATTCCATGCCAGGCTATCCTCTATGTCTGTGGCAGTGGCAGCTGGCTAACAAAATTGCTTAAAACTAACCTTTTTTCCTTTTCTTTTCTTCTATGTCACTATATTTGGTCATTGGTTCCTCCAAGGTACACACAGCCTTCACACTGCTCCCCAGTGTTTCCATAATGGAAAAAAGTCATGAAGAAAATTCACATGAACGTGTTCTTGACTTATAAACCCTCCTGAGATCAGGGAAGTAGTGGAAAAAGATAACTGTTATCGCCAGAATTTCAGAATTTATGCTTTAATGGTGGACTTTGCTCTGTTTTAGCAGTTAAATTTCTCCTCAAATACTCTGAAATCATCAGTTATCACCTTTGCCTGATTACAGAACCAGTCTTTTTAAGGCTTCTGGCCCCAGTCAGAGTTGCAGGAGCATACTGATTTTCCAGTTAACTTGTAGTGTGAGGTTAAAAATCTCAAGCTCTTCCCAGTACCAGAAAACCCTCAACTGTTTCAAGTTCTTGTATATGGTTAGAGGAGGAGAATAGGGCTTGAGATGAAAATATATTACATCATATCCTACTAGGACTGGTCCAGGATGATCTACCCAAAGAAGTCACTAGAAGGGGGTGATGCAAGAAGCTACCTGATCACCAACAAGGATGGAGTCAGAGCCCATTTCTTTGAAATGGTTTCTGAAAGTGACAAAGTTGCTCATATTAGTGTCAATAGTTAATATTGCCTGGGTTCTTACTATATACCAGCCACTGTTTGAAAATGTTCTACTGGCACTATCTCGTGTGATGTCACAACCCTTTGAGGGCAAATAGCCTACCCAAGGTCATACCACTAGTTGGTGGCAAAAAGAGAATTTGTATTTACCCCCTTTAGCCCCAGGGCTTGCTTGTCATCTCATCTTATTCTGCATCTAAGACTGACAGGAAGAAAAGCAGTAACAAGACTGACCAGTTGTTAATATATCTATCTATGCACTATGAATTCCTATGTGAAACAAATATTTGTTCTCGTTTATGTTTTGTAATTCCTATTTTTTAATCCTCAGACATGGGACCAGATGTGCAGGAGAAATTGCCATGCAAGCAAATAATCACAAGTGCGGGGTTGGAATTGCATATAATTCCAAAGTTGGAGGTAAAGATGAGGGCTATTATGGCAGTTTTGCAATTTTATTATTTTATACTTTTTTTTTTAGATTTTTTATTTATTTATGCATACAAGAGCTGGGATGTAGGCAAAGGTGTGGGGTGGAGGGGGGAGATAATGCACAAGAGACAGTGGGGAGCAGAACAGGTGGATCTACTGAAATACACTGCTGAGGAGACAGCGGGTGAGATAGGAAAGTCTGCTGCACCATGTGAGTGAGCTGGGGGTCAAATGCATGCTGCAGGGGCTGCCATAGCTTCATGGTACTGAGACTTTAGTTCCCAGCACCATCAAGAAGACCCAGTTTTGCCCTTTAATTTGACACTTTTGTCATTCAGCATAAATGAGGTAGGGATGAGGGACTTTCAACAACCAGAGGAAGCAATGAACTCTATGCAAAATTTGCTGCAGAATTTGACTGTGATTTGCAAACAAATCAATGAATCTGGATTCCTAGCAGATGATAACTGAATATAGCCCTTGCTTCTTTGTGGGGGAAAAAACTGGAAATGTTGAATAGCTTTTGAAGCAAATCTAATTTCTCTGTGTTCTGATTTAGAAGGGTTTGTTATTGAGAGCTTGCTAAGGGAACAGAAGGAGGAGGTAAATTTAGTCAAAGACATTCCCCGACTCTCAATTCTGCAGTCCTTCATTTCATAGCACAGTTTTTTAAAAATAAAAAGAATACATATGTGTTAAATTAAGGAACCTCAGGTTATCTTTGATAGCAAGAAAATAGAAGCTCTAATTGCTTTAGTCAGTGTTTTTATGGGGAAACATGTAGGTTCCCTCAGGACAATTTATTAAAGGAATTATTTATAAGTTAAAACGGTAACTGACAAAGCCCAAAAAGTGTAGGCAGATGCTACCATCTTTAGACCTAAAGCAGGGAGGGAAGGTGAGTTCACTGGAAACTGGAGAGAGAGGAGATAAGTGGACAGGAGCTGTGTCCTTGAGCACAACTAACCTGTATCAAGACAGGGAGGGTTCAAGGGACACTCTCCCCCCCCCCCTTCCTGCTGTCTTCAGTTGGAGTTGGATGAACCCAAAGAAAAGGTATTTAGATAGTCTATGTTCCATTGGAGAAAGGTGACGAGAATTCTGCAGGGGCTCAGAGAACAGAATGACTGTCTCTCCTCCTCATGCTTACTCCTCTCTCAGGCTTTCAAGGCTATGCTATCAACTTGGAGTTTATTTTGTTTTCAAAAAGTATGAACCACAAAAACAGATCAATTGTAGAACATGTCAATGATGGTAATATTGCTTTAAACTCTGTGTAAGTATATCTTGAATTTGGTTATGCTTTCTCTTTTAGAAACAAATAAAAATGAAAAAAACACCCTGACATATATAATGCATTCTCTGCTGGTAGAGTCCATTCTTAGATTTTCAATGCCATTCCTGGTTCCTATGACATTAGTATCTTTAAAGTTAATTGAAAGAAATGAAGGCAAAAGCACAAATTACATAATCATCTAGAAGAATTTACCTTTCTAGCCGTGATGAACAGCTATAGTTCATGAGAGGATGGTCTGATCTATTCATTTTGTAGAAGAGGAATTAAACAAGGACTTCAGGCTGTTTGTGACAATATGGATATAAAAGACAAGATTTCTGATTCCAGGTCCAATGATTTTTTTCATGACTCCACCCCTTGGTGGTCTAACCTCAAATGCAGTTTTTTGAATGATTATTTACATTTAGTAGGCACTGTAGTGTGTCTACTACTTCTTAACAACACATGACAGGTGCAAGTTAACAGGGTGGCTTGAGGTGCCAGATTTTTTGGGTTCAAATTCTGGCTATCCAATTTTAAGCTATACAACCACAGATAAGTCACTGTTTTTCTCTGGCTTCAGTCTTAGCATCTGTAAAATTGGTAGGATTGCAGCAAGCACCCTCTGTTGGGTGCCACAGCTCCAGATGAGTTCATAAGTTTACGATCTATAGAATGGTGGTTGCATATAATACCCTTAGTGCATGTGAGTTGTTATCACCCCCATTTTACATTTCAAGAAACTGAGTTCCTGAGAAGTTAAGCAACTTTCCCAAGATCACAGTGCTAGTAATCAGACTGGAATTTTTCAATGCATTTTCAAATTTTTTTCTACACTTAATGACTTTTCATTGATCCTGTCAATTACATGTTCCTTTACCTTTGTTCCATAGTAAACAATATTATGAAAATATGACACTATGCACTCCTTTGTATTTCTCAGCCTGAAGCCAAAAGTAGCTGACTGTATCTGTCTAAATTGCTTTTGTCTTCTTGTTTCTTGAAATCATGAGTCTGATGATGGGTGACAGGCTGTTGGAAAGCACCAAGAGTCATTGCTTCTGCCTATTTCTGATGAGAAATGATGCCCCCTCAGGAGTGAAATCCATGGCAATGATTTCATCCTTGAGATTATTTAGAAGAAAAGGAAGCATGTTCCTTGAAAATGTTTCTTAGCAAATACATAAAAGAATGGCCTCTGGGTTATTTTTTAATCAGTGCTTAGAAATAAGAATTCTTTCTCTATTTGCTAGTTTTCAATCATGGGTACATTTTCAAGCTGCATGTTGTCCCATACAGAAGTCTTTGTGCAGCTCCAGCAACAGGCACTTCATCATGAGCTAGCGTTTAAGAGAGTGCTATTTGATGGCTCTTTCTGAAAGGTATCCTGTCATTTTCAGTTTATTGGTGTGGCACAGGGAGGTGTCACATTTGTAACCTACAACACCATGGCACCTGCAGAGTACATACCATGATCTCTAAAGGTCAGACAGGGAAGCTTACAGAAGCAGTGACTTCCTACGGTGCTGGTAGCATCTAGGGCACAGAACATTCAGTGTTTCTCCTTTTTGTGACTTTCTTAAAAGTCCTTTAAGCATGAAGATTAAGGATATTGTACCACTCATACATGCTAAGGTCCACTTCTGTATTTGTTTTGTTTTTCAGGAATAAGAATGCTGGATGGCATTGTGACTGATGCGATTGAGGCCAGTTCAATTGGGTTCAATCCTGGACATGTGGATATTTATAGTGCGAGCTGGGGCCCTAATGATGATGGCAAAACTGTGGAGGGGCCAGGCAGACTGGCCCAAAAGGCCTTTGAATATGGTGTTAAACAGGTAAAATGATTAACACAGACCCACTTGAGATGAGACATGACCATTTGGAGCAAGGAAGAGCACTTAGCTGATATGGGGAGAATGATTGTCCTGGCTCACATTTGACATATAACCAAAGAACTAAATTTTCTTTCGAGGGAAGGAAATTAAGAGATGTCCCTGTTTGGCTCTGACATTCATGAGGGATTCATTACTTTTAGAACATTTTCTTTAAAACTATTCGGGATGTGTCCTTTCGTAACTACTTGCTTGGGTTTACTGCATTCTTGGGTTTACTGCATTCTTGCTAGGATTCTAAAGCCTTATTCTGCACAGGATGAAACAAAGTAGGAAACTTTGGAGAGCACAAATCGAAAAATCATAGAAAGGGTAGCCTTGACGAGTTCCATTCAATCGAAGAGTCCTTTTTAATGCAGCTGCAAAGCAGATCTGAATAATGCCTGATTTTGTCATTCTATCAGTCAGCCAGAAGATTCAAGCAGAAAGAAAGAGCGGAAGTTCAAAGATTTCAAGCACAGTGACTTAAGCCAAGGAAAAAGTGGAAAAATATGAGCAAGTGCTAAAGGCCAGATTTTGAATCTGCATAATAAAGGAAAGAAAGAAAAGCCCTTGCTCAGCTTTATCACAGAAAGGACCCAGATGAAGGAGGACTGAATCCAGGAATGGAGAAGGCAGAGCCAGAGTCCAGTGGCTTATGACAGGCAGTATCGAGAGATTTCCCACATAGCCGCTGAAGGACCTGGTGTTGGAAAGAGATTCCAATAACTGTCTCTGTGAAGTTCGTGTATGTGTTGGGGATTTAATGCAGTGTGACGGTGGCCACAGTCGATAATAACAGATGTGGTTATTTTCTGGCTTCTCCTTCAGGGGCGACAAGGAAAGGGCTCCATCTTCGTCTGGGCTTCTGGGAACGGGGGGCGGCAAGGTGATAACTGTGACTGTGATGGGTACACAGACAGCATCTACACCATCTCCATCAGCAGTGCCTCCCAGCAGGGCCTGTCTCCCTGGTACGCTGAGAAGTGCTCTTCCACACTGGCTACCTCCTACAGCAGCGGGGATTACACGGACCAGCGAATCGTAGGTTCCTTTTGTCTAACTCTGTTTGGGTGGGAGAGTGTGGCTTGCACTCAGAAGGATTCCATGGTCATCATGTTTGGTAAATTCAATTTGCTTAAGCTTGATGTCTCAGTTGAGGAGACTCATGCTTTACTTTTTTGATTGAAAGACTGACATCTATTGGTAAGTTTTCTCTCTCCGAGACAGTGACACTTCTGCCAAGATAATGTTGCCTCTGTCATTTTTAAACTCAGTCCTGAGACATCACCAAGACTGTCACTACCGGCAGACAAGACTCCAAAGGTCTAGTCTACTTGTGTGCTGCCTCCCTGCAAAGGGCCTTAAGGGAGATGGCAGGGCTTTGTCATCCTGGTCCTTCTCGATCCTGTAATAGCAGAGATTTGGTCTGACTTGCTCTTTAGCAGATGATAAAAATAAAGAGCACATACCAGCTCTGTTTCCTGAGAACAGACGATCTGCAGGAAAATAACAGTCTAAATTTCCCCGGAGGTGAACTTCTCAGCGTCCAAATAAGCAGCTCAGGAAGGTTATCTGCTCAGAGAGCATCTCCTGCCCACGCTGGGATCTGCCTTCACTTCCATGAGTCAGACCGCCAAGGGCAATTATTGGATTTCCCTTCAAGGGCACACTGCTGATGGGCCATTCTGGGGCATGGAGAACAAAGACAGGCCCCCCTTTTTTTTTCATGAAAATTTTTTATTTTTCTTTATGGCATTTTTACACATTTTCAGTCTTAGACATGTTTTTAATGTTTATTTTTACATCATTTTGTACATTTTCCCATCTCAGTTGTTATCCCCATGAGCTTCCTATCACCAATTCCTATCACCCATGAGCCATCAACATAGTCCAGTGCACTTCCCTCTCCCCACTGTTTTTGATCCCATTCCCCATGCAACCCCCATAAAATGCCTCTGATAGATGGCTGTTCATTATCATATTATTTTCTCCCCTGGTCCTTTATACTCCGGCTACAAGTGAAACTATGCAATATTTTTCCTTTTCTTTCTAGCTCATTTCACTAAGCATGATCTTTTCCAGCTCCATCCATGTTGCTGCAAAAGGCATGTGTTTCTTTTTGTTGGTTGCTGAGTAATATTCCATTGTGTATGTGTACCACATCTTTTTAATCCAGTCATCTACTTTTGGGCATTTGGGTTGTTTCCATGTCTTTCCAATTGTAAATAAAACATCAATAAACAGGGGGGTGCAGGTGTCTTTTTGAATCAGTGTTTTTGTGTCTTTTGGGTAGATACCTAGGAGTGGGATTGCTGGGTCATATGGAAGCTCCATGTTTAGCAGTTTGAGGAACCTCCAAACAGTTTTCCATAGTGGTTGTACTAGTTTGCATTCCCACCAGCAGTGCAGGAGAGTTCCTTTTTCTCTACAACCTCGCCAGAATTTGTTGTTGCTAGTTGTTTGAAGATGGGCCATTCTCACTGGGGTGAGGTGGTATCTCATTGTGGTTTTAATTTGCATCTCCCTTATTACAAGTGATGTTGAACATTTTTTCATATGCTTGTTGGCCATCTGCATTTCCTCTTTGGAGAAGTGTCTTTTTAGCTCTTCTGCTCATTTTGTGATGGGGTTGTTTACTTTACTTTTGTTGAGTTACATCAGTTCTTTGTATATCTTTGTGATCAATCCTTTATCGCTAGTTTTGTGTGAGAAAAATTTTTCCCAATGAGTGGGATGTCTATTTGATTTTTGTAATGTCTCTTTTGCTGTATAGAAGCTCTTTAACTTGATGTAGTCCCATTTATTTATCCTTACCTTCACTATTGTTGTGTAGGGTGCTGTATCTTCTAAGATGTTACTAAAGTAAGACAGGCACTTTTAATTTTAAAACTTAGAGCCCCAAAGTGTAGATTTGAAACAGGAAAACCTGTTAAAGTGTGTAGGTCCTAACTTCAGTGAAATAATAGGTCAATTGCAGGTGAATCCCATAATAATTAGGGCTTGGAATATGTGTAGAATTCATACAAGTGGCCTCCCAACAAAATTGTCGGAGCTGCTGTCTTCTCCAAGATCACAATTCTGGAACTCTGCCTGGCTCTGCAACCTACTCTAGGTTAGACAGTAAAGCTGTAGTCTCAATTTAAAAATCTCTGGCCATATCTTCAATTCCTGAAATAATAGTTTCATTCTACCCAGGGTTCTTTGTGGCAGACATAGATTATCACCTTTGTGAGAAACTTATCAGACATGTGCCCACTTGTGTTCAGTGCCCCCAGCTTTTGTGGACCCCATAGGGTCCTATTTTTCAAAAATGGCCTATTGCATAGTTCAGCAGCATTTCAGAGACTGCCCCTCATCTGGGTTACTATGCATAGAAATAGAAGGAAATGTTTCCATCTTTGTAAAGATCCTTCCTTAGGTAAGTCAGACAGCTGGTGGATTCTATTTGAGATGGTTGCAATAACACAGCTTTGTCTTACGCAAACCTTTCTTAGCACAGTCATCTCTGGGGGCTTACTTGCGTCAACAGGTAAAAAGGGCAACCTTGCTTCCGCAGCCTGCTGAGGAGCAGAGCCACCATAACTTGAGAAACTCAGCAACTCCAAGTGGGAAGCCAAAGGAGGTGATAATAGAACAAATTATTTTTTTACACCTCCCTCCCACACATTGAAATCTCTAGCTAAAAACCATAGTGTGGAGCCTGGGTGGGTGTCTTGTTAGTAATCCTTTGGCCTACCTACTTGTTCAACCAGTAGCACTATAGTCCTAAAGGCAGCCTGATTAGAAGTTTTTTGCTTGCTTTTCTTAATCTTAGCAACTTCTCCATTATGCTAAAATTAGCCTGGGTAATTCCTTGCATGCAATAATATTGTCTAAAAATGCTTTCCCAGCCAGTAACTCACTTCTGCCTCAGAGGATGAGTTAAGAAGTTTCAACCTTGTTTCACAGATGGAAAAACAAAGTGACTTGTCCATGGGACACATCTACTAAGTAATAGTTTTCAAATTTGAACATAGCTCTAAGTCTAGCACACTTTCGATTTAAAAAACCCAGCATTTTCATCCAAGTGCAAATGTGACACTAATTCATGGGCATCAAATTAACTCTGGGTGCAAGCTACACACTAACATATGTTGTGCAAGTAGTTCAAGCGGCCAAGACCAGGAGAGCTTTACATCCTCGTGCTAGAAAGGCCATTAAATGTCAGTCTGAAGGCAAAAGGGAATTTTGCATGAGCAGAATTTCTAAATATGCCAGACCAAACACAATGGACCTGATGATTAATGGGCCAGCATGATTCACAGTGATTTTGAAACAGTCCCTTTTTTACAGACAGCATTTCGTTTGGGAATCTCAGAAGAGAAAATATTCATAGTGGGAGTACTTCATCCCCAGAAAAGGCATCCTGATGCCAGAATTATAGACAAGTTGCATATAGAGGAGAGTGAACTAAAATATCAGCAGATGGCAAACATCCGCCTGTAGTTTGGAGGAAGTAGGGGATCGAATCAGCTGAGTTTCCTGCTCAGAGCAGATGCGGCCTTGAGTATGGTTAACCCCTGGGGACAGCATCACACTTCTCACATCTTCTTCCTCATTCTTTCCCTCTTGGTGCCATCCAGACGAGCGCTGACCTGCACAACGACTGCACAGAGACCCACACGGGCACCTCAGCCTCCGCACCCCTAGCCGCTGGCATCTTCGCTCTGGCCCTGGAAGCAAAGTAAGGCCCAGGAATCCTTAGTCACCTTTACTGAGGTTGCTTCTCCTGCTTTGTTTGGGCACATATTGTTTTCTAAATACAGTTACAATAGAAAACTTTGAAAACTACAAAAATAACAAACCCCAGCTCTCTTCCTGTCAACATCTCCATGTAGTTTAATGCACACCCATATCTTACAAAGTTGGAATTTAAATACACATTACTTAGGCATTTCAAAAAAATACACCCTATAGGATATTAAGAGCCTATTCTCAAGGAAGTTAGTGTTCCTTGACCTTTAAGAACTTATGTTCTTCTCCCTGTCCCTCTGTTCAGCTACAAGGGCTTCTCACTTCTGTTCAGTCTCGCCAAGAAAGACTTTGTTCAGAGGATTTCTTGTAGGTAGTATTAGAAGCAACAAGTTAATAAAACATCCATTTTTCCAGATTGTCTAACTCCGGTCTTATAGTTGATATGACACATAAGGGAATTAGAATTAAAAACAGGACTTTTATCTTTTCATAATATTCTGTTACACAATTGGAAGCTTGATTAAAGTCATATAATCATGCTTAGATAAACTCCCTTGTGCATAAATATTTGCTTTTACCTCTAATAATGTCCTAAGGATAAACACACAGAATTGGAATTTCTGAGTTAAAGGGCTTACGTGTGTTAATGATTTTGATACATTGGCAAGTTTCTGATTGGAAAACCTCTACTATATTATTTCTCCAGGAGCTATATATGTTTGTAAATGCCAGTTTCATAAACCCTATGAAAGCTACTTTTATTTTTAAAATGTTTTAATGAGTGAAAATGGTAGCTCATCTTTACGCACTTTTATTTCATTACTAACGAAGCTTTGCAGCTGATATTTTTTGGCCATTTATCTTATGAGATTGTTCATTTGAGACTTTGATTTTGTCTTTTGGTCTTCATTTTGTCTTTTGGTTAGCTTGACATTTGCCTTTGCATTTTATTTATACTTAATATTTTAATGCAGTGAAGTTAATATGCATTATATATTTGTTAATCTATTTCTTTAGGACTTTCCTCTTTGTTTTTATGCTCAAAATAAAAAATTTTCACAACCCCAAAATTAGATACATTAATTTATCTTTATTACAGTTCCCTTACCATATTTAAATTCTAAATCCCCCAATTTACTTTTATTCTCTGATATTCAAAGGTCTTTAATGCTGTTTTTACACTTGTAAGAGTTAATACTTAATACTGAGGAAAAAAATCTCATGTTGTATAGTCATACTTGTAAGAGTTAACCAATAGTCTAATACTTAATATTGAGGGGGAAAAAAATCAGAGTTGTTATTTTTGTCCTCAAGTCTATGCTTTGATGCCATGTGGGGAGAAACCTTTAAATGTCAAGTCAGATGCTATATTACAGGAAATGATTAAACTTGTAAATTACTATTACCCTTCCTACCTTCCTAATAAAGAGATTATCATAGAAGAAAAGACACACATTCTCTAAAGAGGGGACAAAGTCATTACCCAGTCATGTGAACTTCATATTAATCCACAATTAGCTGTCAATAAAATGGAAGGGGTCAGATCATTTTTTTTTTTTATATTTGAAAAGGCAGGTTTATTTTAAAGGGAGAGAAAAATAAAGGACAATTGCACAGACACAGACAGTTAGAAAGAGCTGTCCCTGAAAGGGACAGGCTTGCTAAAAGAGAGGGGCCTGCATGGTCACAGGTGGGCAGCCTTGGGTGAAGAGGTGTCTCTGTTTCTTTGCTAAGGGAAAAAGTTTGTGAAAAGAAACATCTGTGTAGTCGCAGGCAAGAAGGAGAGTGACTGCGTATTTATTTATTTATTTATTTGGCAAATCCCTTCATTTTCTAAGATTATGGGCTTTGAATGGAAATTGTCAACATACATGGATCATTCAAAATGAATTGTTAAAAGTTGGTGGTAAGGGGTCCAGAGTAGAAGAAAGTAAGGTCCTGTGGAGGCAAGCAGTTCACATGGGCAGTGTATATTTATAGTTTCAGTATATAAGCTGTGAGCTCAAGCGAACTGTTAAAAAAAAATCGTGGAAATCTTAAGTCTTTCCTACCCAGCATGTCATATGCATATCAACACAGTCTGATAGGCCTAGCATATCCTTGTCTGGTAACTAGTCTACAGTAGAAACACCCACTTACCGGAGCAGATGTAATACTAATTTCACATAAGAGCTGAAACTTTCTAATTGCAATTTCTGGTTGTTAAAATTTCAAGCCTTCTTTATCTGTGCAAGGAGAAAATGATGTAAGAATGATTTAGCTTCTAATCACAGTTAATTTCTAGTAAGCTATTTCAATATCAGGGCCTCAGTGGGCTGCTATGAAGTACATGGAAGTAGCCCATGAATCTTTTTGAAAATATATGCAGTTTTGTTTGTGAGTGTGTACATGGCATTTCTTTTGGGTACTGTTTTATAGGGGCCTTCAGATTCTCACAGTTCATGATTTAAGAGACATTAAGAGCCCTATGATTTCCCTGGTGCAAAATTCCCTGGTGAATTAATTCCTTTCATTTTGATTGAAGCATCAGTAAGATAGACATAATGTATCTTAACATTTATATTTTTCCTGCCAAAGTACGTGTTCTCAAATGGACAGTTTTCTGAACTCAGTTCAATTATCTATATCAAGACAATAATTTAGGAAGATGAATGCCAGAATTTTTAGAAGCATGATCAAGCTTTATCCCTAGACAGTCAGGATTGGGAGAATGACTTAACAATGTGCTGTTCCTCAAGGAACATCTATGGAAACTGAAGAACTCTGGGCTAAGTTTATCAAGAATAATAACAGTATCAGGTTCTTACTGTGGTTTAGACACTATGATAACTTCTTTATAAATGATGTAATTGTAAAATTTTAATTCTAATTCTTAAACATTTGTGTGACATGCAATTATGTATTGCATTTATAAATGAAGACAATCAGACTTACAGAGATTGAGCGATATTGCCATATACCTCAACGAGATTCAAAGGTCTGTCTGATCCCAACATCTGTTCTGTCAACAGCTATCCCAAAATGCTTCCTAAAGCCCTTTGGGGGAGACAAAATATTGAATGACTTCCTCCCAAAGAAGAGGAATGATGGTTAGGAAGACTGAGTCTGAAAAAAGACCACAGAACCCTCATTTGTTTAGGAGTTCCTCTGAAAAAGTTATTACAAGCAGACTACTTACTATGCTGCATGAGATATAACATAACTGGAGGATTGGCTAATAGGAAAGGAGAAAAGAGGAAAGAATTATTTCTGGCTCAAATATAGATAAAGGAATACCTTTCTTCCCAACAAGTATTTCTCCAACCTAACATATATCATAATCACCTTGGGAGATTTTTTAACATGTAGATTTTTAACATGCTAGTTTCTGGCATTCTGTTCATAACAAGTAATAGAAGAAGTTATGTTTAGTTAAATTTTGAGAACAGCAGCTATAAAGAGTTACTTTACAATGAGACTTTTCTTACAATGTCATCCAGTTGTAATTCTCAAGATGCCCATTACATATGTAATAGGCACGTCTTATGTGTGTGTACATCTATAAAACTACACACACTTTTATATAGAAGTATCTATTTGTCTGTCTGTCTACCTATCTTTCTTCTAAGAGAGACAGGAATTCTTTGGATAAAGTCCGGTGGAAGCCATTATTATTATGTAGTGAATATAGCAAAGAAAGATGGCAGACAATAATCTCAGTCTTCTGAGGAGAGACCAAATGAATAAAGATGGTTTCTAATAGAAAATAAAAAAGTCTGAAGTACACCATTGAATCCCTTCTCATTTTTTGAGGACTGAACCAAGCTTCTGTTTTTTATTAAAGGATACAGAAAAGGGAACGGACATTCAAAATTGCATGAAATCTTTGGATAAATCACATTACAGAAATCTTTGACTCAGTGGGTTGTGAATGTTGGCAAGTCTCCATGTTAGAAAGTCTGAAATATCTTGATTTATCTAGACAAGACAGCCAGGTAGCCCCAAGATTTTTTCACTTTAGAATATTGGCTCCAAATTATGTTACCTACATTCTTCTAATTAGAAGCAATACTTAAATGCAGTGTTTAATTACATAACCCTTATTTTCTATAAACATATCCTTGATTAGCAATCCAATGCAAATTTTTAAAATGTAATTATTTTGGTTGCTGCTGAGCATTAATTAACAAAGCAAGACTGTCAGAGATGAAATGTGCTATTGTTAGCAGCTTTTTTTCATTTATGAAAATGCAATCACACAAATGAAGAATAACTCTGTTAGGAAAGTGGGCTTAATTTCTTTAATTACATGACAATGAAGCTCCCTTGAATATCTGGCAAAGGATAGTTAAAAGAAAATTTAGGAAAACAAACTTGCAACCAGATATGAAAAAAGCTCTACTGTACAATGAAAGTCTAACTTTTGTGTTTGATTAACATGTCTATCAAGACCACCCTCTGCCTCCTTAAGTACATTTACTACAATCCTTAGTACACTTACACATCCCGCCTCCATATGCACATCTGCTCGCACTGATGGTGCATGTGCAACGTGGGCATGTTGTTAACTGGCTAGACTTCCCTGGAAATTTAATGAACTGGGAGGAACTAAGACTTTCAATAAAATACAGGACAGACTTAGTTTCTACATTGAAAAAATAGCTGCTTCTGCTTAGCTAGTTAATTATTCCTAAGTATAGAAATGAAATCTATAATGAGACATGTATCCTATTGAGAAGATAGGGCATCTGAATGGTGGAAAGGAATCCTGGAGATTGTCATATTCAGACCCTCTATTGTGTATATATATATATATAGTGTATATATATCAACTGAGGCCTGGGAAGATGATGATGATGATGTGTGTGTGTGTGTATGAAGATAAAATAAAGTCACTTGTTTAACATCATACATGTCTTTGGTGGTGGAGTATAGTTAAAGTACTTTCCATTACTCCTTATTTTAACCCCATGATTTACAATGACTTCCAGATTTCTTAATTGGTCATATGCTTATATTCTTTCTCCCAACTCCTACGTTGGGAGAACTAGCTAGCTAGTTTTTTTCAAATATAAATAATAAAAATAAAGTGCTACCCAAAAATATTTTCACTCAGTTGGTTAGGTTAGGGCTCAAGAATCTTACTATATGTAAGTGTACCCAGTGATTATGAGACAATCTCTCTGGGACCCATGGAATCAATTAAGTGGAGTCTTTCTAAGGACTTTATCACTCTCTGAGTTTATCTGTTGTATTTGTTTGTACAGCTGAACTGAGAGATCACATAACTGATTAAAGCAACAAACCAAAAATTAGAGTTAATACCATATTTTGGTATTACCACCATCTTATCTAAAGCCAGATAAGATGTCAACTCTCCCTCTTTTATTTCTCCCCATGGAAAGGTATACCAACTGAGTCAGGTAACAGTGGGGAGACAAGAACCCCAACACAAGGCTTTGCAACTTTTTAGAATGTCAAATGAAGTGAGGTAAGAAGGAAAGTTAGGAGTCAGAATAGAATAATGTGTCTTCATCTCATCGCTATGGGGTTCCTCTCATCTCATATTAGGGGGTTGCCCAAGTCCTCCGACATAGACCAAGCAATGAAAGTGCAGGACCTAGGAGTGTATTTATGGGAAGGGCTTGGCCAGTGAGGGAGATGAATCCCTGATTACAACTCCCTTCAGAGACTCTTACATCAGGCCGTGCACACAGGCTGTTCTGGAAGAGGCAGCTTTGCCTGGAAGCCCAGGTAGAACCCTTGCCTTTGCCTGTAATGAAACCCCATTTTTAAGCAGGAGTTGGGCTCCCCAGTGTCTGGGAATGGCACCGTCTCTTTTTTGCCATGGGAGGGACGGAGCTTGTATAATCAGAGCATTGTGTGCTCTGGAGACAAGTTAGAAAATTGAGCCAAGTTCCCCAAGTGATTATTTCATAAACTAGGGATAAGATAAATAGCTCAAGGACTAAATACCTGGGTCTGTATTTATTAAACAATGCTTGATTGCCTTGATAACAGAGTCACAGATCTTAAAACTTAAAAAAATGATTGATATCTTGAAGGAACCTAATGGCTAATAGCACAAAGTTTTAAAATTATATCTGGGGCTAGTTAATACTTAGGTATGTTCCACCATTCACCCAACTAGTATTTACACAGCATGTACCTGTGCCTGATATTCTTCTGAGTACTTGGTAAATATGACAGAACAAGATAGATAAAAAGCTTAGTCCTTCTCATGGCTAATGCTTGCAGGTGAGACAGACATTAATAATACACTAAACAAATGCAGGAAAGGTGTAACAGGATGATAAAGCTCAGGAGCTCACAGGGAGAACTGAAATTTTAACAAGGGTCATAAGAAAAGTATGTATCTTCATTATAAAGACCCAGCAATCCTCTGCAGACCTTCTTATCTTTATATTTCTGGTATATTAATCTCACCAAGACTTCCAGTGATACCATTCATGTACTAGTTCAGAAAATCCTAGATCATCCCTTCCTGCCCAAAGAGTCAACATCAGCTGCTTTTGCTCTCGTTCAAAATCCTGACCATCTAGCTCAATGTTCCTGGTCACCTCTTACTGCTCCAGAAACTTGGACCATTCATTATACTCAGGTCAATCCCTATACTTCCTGCCCACCCTCTGAGATTTTGCCCCCTTGTTCTGGACCCTTTTATCCATTTCTACTTCTTGATCTTCTACCTACACATCAAATTCCAACTCAATTATTTCCTCCCAGCAAAGTCTTTCTAGAACTTTGCAGCCTCAAAGAATTCTTTCTTTTCCCACAATACATTATGCCCACAATTAACTGGTATATGTTGGTTATAAAAGAGACTTAATTCTTTTACTGGATTGTAAGCTTCTTAAAGACAAGAACCACCTCCTTGCATATTCACACAGTATTCAGTACCATATCTTGTAATTGTGAGCTAAAGTAACTAAATTTCTTGACACTTTTTGATACATAACTAAAAGAAACAAGCATCTGTAAGAATAGTTTGCCAGTATATGTCTTTACACTTACTATATAGCATTAAGGTTAAAGTACACTTTGTTTTATATACCATTAACAAACATAATTGCCAATCTAAGAAGGAAGGGTTCATGATGCTGAAAATGCCAAGGCAGTTAATGAACAACAGAAGACTGGAAGACACAAAGGAAGTTTTGTCATGTTTAATTTTGCTCCAGCTAAATTCAGGAATAAATCATATTCTTTTACAATGCTGAGTACTCTATTTTAATCATATTAAAAACTTAACATGTATGATATGGGGAGAAGTCTTGTGTTTTGAATTCTGACTGAAAAGACAAATCTATAGTCATATAGACTAGAGTAAAGTAAGTACATACAAGTGATACATTTTAATCGTTGAATGGAGAGGCTTGTTTTTAGCCCTTGCTTTTTCAAGGAAACTCTATTTTGTTCCTGAATGATTTTTTGGGTCACTTCCCCTCTAGTCCAAATCTCACATGGCGAGATATGCAGCACTTGGTTGTCTGGACCTCTGAGTATGACCCATTGGCCAATAATCCTGGATGGAAAAAGAATGGAGCAGGCTTGATGGTGAATAGTCGATTTGGATTTGGATTGCTGAATGCCAAAGCTCTGGTGGATTTAGCTGACCCCAGAACCTGGAGTAGCGTTCCTGAAAAGAAAGAATGTGTTGTAAAGGACAATGCCTTTGAGCCCAGGTAAGTGTCTTCAGCCATATGAAACAAATATGTGCCATAGCACCACCTGATTATAGTATTTGTCACTCTTCTCGTCCACCTTTCTGAAATAGGTGGAGATGGCATTTGCCAGTGTTCTCCCTGGGTCCACGGGGAATCACTGAGAGATCAAAGACACACAATCACACTGGCATATTCAATCTTCCTCTCTGTCTATTCACTAAATAGTATTAAAGTTAAAGTGTACCTTGTTTTATATATCACTAACAAACATCATTTCCAATTTAATTATTGTCAATGATTCACCCAAGATAGATGTTAACAGGTTAATAATAATGCAGTCAGAATTGTGAAATGGAGTACTTGCTAATCATTATCCAAGCCCTATTTCAGAAGAACGTCACTTCATGCCATGATGCTATGAGATGGATGGCTTCTCTTCCATGAAGCATCCTTTATTATACTATTTTTATATAGGAACTCCTGACCCACCGCAAAAGCAGGATCTGGTACAATTTCATTTTGTTGATTTCTGCTAATACAGAAAAGCCACTCACACAAAATATCTAAAGGTTGAGGCTTTGGGGTATGCATTAGGAAAATAAAACCACTTATTAAGAGAGTCTTCTTTTTCAAATTACTATTTGAATATTTTTGCTATTGTTACAAGAATACCTTATATATATTGGAGATTAACTCCTTGTAACATTATAATTTATAAATATTTTCTCCCACTGTATAAATAATTTGTCCATTTTTATTTGTTGATTGCGTCTTTTTATGTAGAATATTTGTAGCTTGATAAATCTTCACTGGATTATTTTTGCTTTGTTGCCTGAGTTTGTAGTGTAATATTCATAAAGTCATTGCCAATAAATCTTTGCTTCAATGTTATAAAGTTTTCCTTCACATTTTGCAGTTTGGGGTCTTAGGTTTAAGTTCCAACCATTTTGTGTTGATTTTCATGCATGGGCTAGATAAGGGCTCACTTTCATTATTTTACATGTGGATATCCAGTTTTCCACCATTTGTTGAAGATACTGCCCTTTCACATTAGATTATTCTTGGCACCATTGTCAAAAATCAGTTAACTATATATGCATGAATTTTTTGGTCCATGTAGTATCTGTCTTTGTGTCATCATCATACTGTTTTGATAGTGTGACACCTCTAGCTTTGTTCTTTCTTAGGATTGGTTTGACTACTTATGGCCTTTTATATTTCCATAAAAATGTAGAATTGGTTTTCTATTCAGTAAAAACCATCCTTTGTTATTTTCTATGCATTAAAATTAATGTATATCTAATCTGCCATTAGGTTCTACTCATAATAGAAGGGAGACAACAATTTCATTATGTGGCTAACACTGATGTATATGTACTTGAATAAAATGATTCTTTCATGAGTTTAGAGCCCTGAAAGCCAATGGAGAAGTTATCATTGAAATCCCAACAAGAGCTTGTGAAGGACAGGAAAATGCTATCAAGTCCCTGGAACACGTGCAATTTGAAGCAACAATCGAATATTCCCGAAGAGGAGACCTCCATGTAACACTCACTTCTGCTGCTGGTAAATTCATTTTAAGCCATGAAAATTTCTTCTAAGCCATTTGTTTACAAATTGAATGATTTCCAATCAATAGCTGTTTTGCTTGTTTATAGAAATAAGTCTCCTGATAGCTATTTTCAGATTTTAAGTTATATCTATTTTAAATTTTTCTTTATTTCAGATTTTTTCCCTTCTCATTTACACTGATTCACAGATAAGTAGAGAAAGAGGTCTATTCCAGAATTACAGGTTTTCAAATTGTGTTTAATGTTCCAGGTCACTGATGTGTCATTCAGTTATCTCAGGTCATACATAAGTGGAAGTTATTCTGATTACCAGTTAACAACTTTGACATATATCCACTTCACATTCAATGAATCAGTTGAAAAGTTTGAAATTATAGTCCATGAAAAACAGTTGAGACGAATAACAAATTTCTCATAATAATATGATTAAGACTATATAATGTGATATTTGGCCTTTGCCAAAAGATATTAATCCAAATGAGATGTGAATGGGGACAAGTTTTTAGGCCATAAACCACAATCTAACCAGGAAATGCTATCCCAACATTCTGTCATGATTTAGTAGAATTCAACTGACTAAGTTCAGTTTCTTTGAATAGTTGAGCTATCTCTGTAAACTCCATAGAGGTTTAGAGTAAACACTTGTTAATTTTGGAGTTCCTTTCTAGATATGTTGGAATAGTCATGAAACATTAGTGGAATTCTTCTTTTACTTAAATATTATTTACTACTCTATAGAGAGCTTGGATTTGAAAATTTAAATTTCTCTTACTACTAGTTTTTATATGACAAGAGATATTAAATTAATGACATTTTTAATGTTTATACTGACTACAAACTCAAGCACTTTATGCATTTTTATGATTTCCTGTTATAATGCAAATGACTTTTTTCACTGAATATATTTTAGATGTTTGACTCTCTTCTTTAAAATAATTTGAATTTTAATATAGCCTGAGTTCTCTTTACTCAAATAAACCTTAATCAATATAGTCATACATTCTTCACTTTTCCATAATATGTATTGAGAAATTATTTTACTTCTTCCCTCCCCTTTAGAGAATTTATTATATGGCAGGCAATGTGTATAAAAACATTTTTTTGTTGTTTGTGAATGTCTCAATCCTGACCTTATACTAAAAAAAAGAAAAGAAAGCAGCTAATCTCTCCCAGCTTTCATTCTCAGTTATTAGACACTAAAGATGTATCCTACTATCAGACCTGTTAAGGCAATTCATCAATTTATATATGTTGCATGAACATAGGAACCAGCACCATACTGTTGGCTGAAAGAGAGCGGGATACATCTCCTAATGGCTTTAAGAATTGGGACTTCATGTCTGTGCACACGTGGGGAGAAAATCCCATAGGTACCTGGACTTTGCAAATAACAGATATGGTAAGTATGAATGAAAGGATATAGAAATGCAGCTCACTTTCACACACTTTGAAATACTTTTGAGGTTGATATCATCATTAATGAAGGTCTTAAGGAATTTTAATCATGCCTTTGCAGGACTAGGGAAAAGGTGCCCTGTTTCAAGCCTTGCCCAGTAGGCAAAATGATTACAAGCAAATAACCAAAAGGTTAGGCAGCAACCATGCTAGACAAAGAAAGAAAAGATGTGTTGTTACTCAGTATGAGAGATTATGGGACAAACCTAAGTGTTCCTATGTCTAAAGGTAGCTGACCCATGACTCACAATCAGTGTGTTCACAAGGGTAGTTAAATGCTAGACCAGCTTTGCCTTGACACTTGGCTGGGGTCATATGATGTAACTCTTACAAATATTTTCTACAGTGAGTATTTTGAGTAGGTTTCTTATTAGATAGATCTTTTATTTGACTCTTTTGTTTCAGTTATGAAACAAACTAAAAAGTATTTCTCATACCTCTCTCACTCTGTTTACTATTCCTCTTTGATATCTTTCTAAACCAGTAACACAGTCACACACAAAAATATCTGAGCAAAAACTCAAATAAATACACCTAAATTAGTTAATTCTGCATCATATATCCAGCATTTTCTGAGGAGAATGTGTAAATGAATAGTGTTTGGGGTTTGAATTCTCTCAAAATAGAAGTGTTGTCAGTATCAGCACTTATCAGCACCTTATTAAAATGTTTAGATAATTTTTACAAAGAAATTATTTTAAATGATTACCTTGAAGATGTCAATTAAATGAAGACAAATTCTATAAGCAGTTATTCATTTTTTCTCTGAGAATAACTTTCTCCTACCAATACTGTAACTTGGAAACGGAAGTTGTAAAAATTCCTGTTCTCAAATAAGAAGGAAATGTTCTTAATAGATCATCCTATGTGAACTTGACCTTCATTCTTTAGCTCAATTTCACCATCAGGAAACTCAGAAAATCTGTTTTCCAAGATGGAACACTTTATAACAAATCCAAAAATCTGATTTTACACTTTTAGGTGTTGTTTTTTGTTTTTTGTTTTTTTGTGTTTTTTTTGTATTTTATACTTTAGTACATTACTTTTAATGTAATTATTGGGCCTCTGAAAATTACTACCATTCCCACAATATACAGGTTTTAAGAATTGATTAATGTTGAAGGCTACTTATACTACACCATGGAGGATGATGTTTTATCCCAATGGAATGTGTTTAAAAAATTATATTTATTTAGGCATATAAGAACTGGGGTATAGGACAGAGGTATGGGGGTGAGAAGATTCATTAGAGACAGAGTAGGGAGCAGAACAGGCGGATTGACTGAAACACACTGCTGAGGGGACCAGCAGAAGAGATGGGGTCACCTATGTGGGTCACCTCCTTGGCTGGGGATCGGATTTGTGCTACAGTGGCTGCAGATAGCTTTATAATGCTGTGCTTTAATTTGTTGAGGCCCTGGGGAGGGCCCACAGTGGAATGTTTCTAGAAATGGATAATTGGCAAATATAACTCTGTCTAAGGAAGAAAAGTCAACTTTTCAAGAACACACCAATATAGAAAAAGAGATTCATACAGAGAATTCTGCTTTTTTAACTAAATGAAGCTGTTGATTGGTTTTTAATTCCTTGAATATGTAAATACTTTAAAAAATTGTACTGAAGTAAAATTAGCTCATTATGTTGTATAGGTTTCTGATGGAAAGCTTTGTAATTCAACATATATGTACACTAGCTCATGAACACCACCAAAAAGTCTGATTTCCATTCCTCACCCCAGAACTGACTCTCTTTATCTACTTCACCGGCCCCATCCCCCTTCTGTTAATTGCTAATGTGTTCTCTGTATCTAGGAGTTTGTTTTTGTTTCGTTTTGTTTGTGTCTTTATCCTCTCTGTATGCTTGAGATCATTTGGTATTTATCTTATTCAGTCTGACTTATGTCACTTACCATAATTCTTTCAAGGTCCATCCATTACACTATCAATTTTCATAGTAAGAGTGAATTCAGTGATTTACTTAAGACAGAGAGCTATACCCGTGGAATACACAGAATTTTTAAATTAAGTTTTATGAAATCTTTTTTAGATGTCTTGAGTTTGTTTACTATTATTCAACTATACACTAAGATTATGTTTATTTATCAGTCTGGAAGAATGCAAAATGAAGGCAGGATTGTGAACTGGAAGCTGATTTTGCATGGGACGTCTACTCAGCCCGAGCACATGAAACAGCCTCGTGTATATACATCCTATAATACTGTTCAGAATGACAGAAGAGGTGTGGAGAAGATGGTGGATTCAGGGGAGGTCTGTGTGGCTCTATTCTTTTCGGCATGCTCTATTCTGAAATATAATAGACAATGCAATGAGGGAAGCTGCACTTAAAGGTCTGACAGTGAGTGAGTCAAACATGAGTGGGGAAGAAGCACAGGGAAAGGGTTAACTTTATTTTCTATAGGATGAATCCCCATTATTTTTCAAAATTTTTTATTGAGAATTTAATATTAAAGTTAATGGATTCAAAATTATTAAATTCCCTAAAGTGAATTAAATTATAAAGAGAACTGCAGTTTTACATGATAATATATATATATAACTCATGAACTGACTTTGCTTTTAAGCATCTTTACATTGCCTCATTTAACCAGCAATCAAGAAAAGATAGCTAGTATTATGTCCATTTTACAGAAAGAAAACCAATGCTAAGTGACCAAATCCTGTCAACCTCTTTACTACCTCCTTAATAAAGGAGTTTCTTGGAAACTCCAAGCCACAGACTTACAGAATCCCAGCTTCTCTCAGAAAATTTCAGAGGACAGCCAAAATCAGCCTGTGTCTCAGTCTTCTGAGACTTACAGCTTCCCCCTTATCAAACAGTGGGTAAAAAACAATTTAAAAAAAAATCTCAGTCCCCTCAGCATGCAACACAGTGGCTAACAGAATTTCACAAATGGCCTTCACTGAAGTCTGGCTAGTGCCTTATGTTTTGAAGGAAACAGTATTTATTCAGGAAACTGAATAATTTATTCAGAAACTGAATAAATACTGTACACTAGTTGTGTGGAAGCCTGGACTTAGATTTTTAGCTCCATTCATATGTTGGAAAGCAGTTCCCCAACCCTGGCTCCTCACCTGCATGATGCATGTCAGGCATCTTCACATTCCATTGAGGGAGACATCTTGTGGGTATTTTACTCCTTAGAGATTTCTTATAGGCATGCATAGGAACCTTTGATTGTCAAAATGATGAAACAGTTCCACAATGTTCACAAGGAGCTGATTCTCTAATCTTTCCAATGCCTGTTTTTCTACCTGCCCCAGTACCCAGCCACCAAGCCCGCTGGGCCTCCAGGTCCAACGGAAAGGAAAGCTCCTGATGGAGGGAGCCTAAGAAATGTCTCCCATATGATGGCACTGTGGCTACCTACTCTATGAGTCATTAAATATTTAATATGAGCTCTTTTCTAAACCATGGATGGAGAGGGAAGTGAGTAGGAATGGTAAGCTGTTTATTTTCACAGGGTAAAATCCTACTTCAAAAAATGTATCCTTTTACCCAGAATTCAGAATTTAGAAATTAAAATTTATGAATTAAAAATTATTAAAACTCTCACATGAATTTTACTGACATGAAAGGGTTGGGTAAGTGTACATACACTTAATTTGTCAGCATCTCATTCAGCCCTCAAACCCATCAGAAATGGAGGTATTCTGATTTCCATTTGACAGATAAAGTTCAGGAGATTAAAAAGAAAGCAAGAGTATATCAGTAAGTGGGAAAAATGAAACCAGAGTTAGTGTGACTCCAAGCCTGTGCTTTCTCTACTTCTCAGCCTCTTCAGAAAAGGTTATAGGCCTGCCTGGCCCAAAATAACAAGCCTTCTTCTCTTTGCCGGTGGCATTCTGTGCTTTAGGAACAACCCACACAAGAGATCTTGAATGAGAAGCCCCCGACATCAGAAAGCCCCACCTTCGGCAATGTGGAGGGCAGAAGGGGTGATGTGGCAGAGGGCGCACCCTCCGAGGCCATGCTACGGCTTCTACAAAGTGCTTTCAGCAAAAACGCATCCCCAAGACAATCACCAAAGAAGTTTCCAAGTGCAAAGCTCAACATTCCTTACGAAAATTTCTATGAAGCTCTGGAAAAGCTGAACCAACCTTCCCAGCTTAAAGACTCTGAGGACAATCTGTACAACGACTACGTTGATGTTTTCTATAACACAAAACCTTACAAGCACAGAGACGACCGGCTGCTGCAGGCGCTGGTGGACATTCTAAGGGAGGAAAATTAAAATCAGTGTACGGCCTGAGTTGGAAATAGTCATGCTTCTTCCTTCCCCTTAGATTTTGCCTGTATCTGGTGTAGTTGTTTTTGTCACTGATTCTTATGCTTATAAAATCCTTTGTAGTAATTTTCATTTTCTCCCCAAGAACATTCAAAAGGGACAAGCTGAAGTAGTAAATCCATCTTCCTAAACTGATTATAGCTCTTTCAAAATGTGTCTTCCCTGCCTGCACAAGTAAAATGGTTTGTTCTTTCTGCAACCACAGTTCACACATGGTCCTCATACCACGTTAGAACCCTTTCTAGGCACCCCCTGTTTAATTTCTCAAAAGGAAAGGTGCAACCTGGGCAGTGAGTTAATTTGAAAAGTAATCTGAAAAGAGGAGAGAGCAAAACTGTTCCTATCTTGGCCCCTATCTTTGCCATGTGGATAGTAGAATTTTGATGCCAAGGTTTAGAAAGTCTAATGAAAGAGTCATAATTAGAATTATATTCTAGATCTTTCTACTCCAAAGCACCACTCATTAACCAAACGGATGACTGTCTGGTTAACTGAGGAGAAAGATTGCTGGTATAATTACAAACCAGACCTGGAAATATGTGATATCAGCTTTGAATAATTCTAGAACACTCTATCCAGAGTGCCCTACACAGGCCTCCACAGACTTAAAGGTAAGAGTGACTCAGGCTGTGTGCTGGCCTTCTTCACCCTCCTCTCCATCTAAAGGTTTCTCAGCAACAAAATAAATACTATTTCTACCCATAGAACAAACCTTCATTTGGAACTTGTGGCAAATTCCTAGCCACATTTTTTTTTTTTTCTAAATAATCCTAACAAGAAATCACTCATAACAGAAAACCAATATAATGACAGGAAAATATTCATCACAATGAGAATCAATTAGAGGTATTTTGAAATTGTATTTATTAGAACAGCTTTTTCTAGGTCTTTGAAATTGGGTTCATTCCCAGACACTAGAGACCCTTCTCTGCCTTATAGCTGATAGCATCAAATTGTCACCCAATTAATTTCTCCCAAGCTTGAATTCAGAGGATACAAGCTGGCAGCTCACAGGCTGACTTTGTGCCTCAGGTAGAGTTTATTTGGCATGTGAAATGTTTATAAATATGAGTGATTGCTGAACACACATGATTTCATATAAAACCCAGCTCCCAGACACATCTTTCCCCCTGGTAACAGCTGGCTGGAGCAGAAGAGCCGCAGCCCAGTTCAACTTAATGCTAGGTCCTGTGGCCCCTGCTCACACGGCTCCCAGCTGCCACCACACTTGTCAGCATTCCACTGGCATCAGATTGTTCGCGTTCCTGTGCTCAATGGGCAGGTAAAATGCATAAATGCATTAGGAGAAAAATTCCACAACTCCTTTCAGGCAGGACCCTATAATAATAATGATGAGTATTTCCCATGATCTAATTAATTGATAAACCCAAAATGGTATTTTGAAAGTCCATCTGAAATCCAGTTTGATGTGTTCATTTAATCTTACCTCACCTACATATGCACATTATACTAATTCACTAGCTATCAACCCCAACCTCCTATTCTATATCTGCTCTTAAAACTTCTAATTGCCTATTGGAATGTGCTGTCTGCAATCCTGCCAAGACATTTGAACTTCATCAGCCCACACATGGCACTGAACTGGACCAGGAAGAAAACACTAGTCAATCACTTACTTGGGTTTGAATTGCAGGTGGCCATGTTTACCCCTATTCTACTTTCACCCCCAATTCTACAATTTGAATTTAGGAAGAATGAGGGGGTTTCCAAGGTAATACCTGTGATGATTAGAGGATGTTCTCCTTAATGGAATTGTAATTGCACTGTGTCCTTGAAGTTTGGTGTGGTATTTGATATATAAAGTATTGGATATAATTTTTCAAATTGCATCATATCAAAAAGCATCTTTGAGGTATTAGATACATTTTCAACTAAAAAGGATCTTTGAGGTATTAGATACATTTTCAACTGAAAAAAAAAAAAAAGAACAAAACTAAAGCCCAGAGAAACCAATAAATGGTAATAATTGAAAACTAATCCATTCTTCACTTCTAATCCAGTGCTAGAGTATGAAGCTTTCTTTTTCATCATTAACAATATTTTTCCTGGTTAAAACCCCAACCAATTCATTGGATGCTAGCCAGAGGGTCACACCAGAGAAGCTTTAATACTTCAATGAAATCATGTTTGGATGTTTCCAACTTGGAGTATTTGTTCAGATATAAATTATTTTTGTCAGTCTTTCTTAGTGCCTGTGTGGATTTTTGTGAAAATGTAAAAGAGGAAACTTATATAATATTTCCCTTGGAATTTTAAACTATATTTTCTTTACAGGTATTTATAATGTACCAATGCTTTTATCGACAGCATTTTAAAAGGCATAATAAATTATATTAAAAAACCAAAATTTTCCTGAAAATAAGAAAGTTTCGTCCAATAAAATATTTTTGAAAGGCATGATCCTCTGTCAGTGAAAAACAAGTGTAATATGTATGTGTTGTGATTTTAGTGCCATTTGTCTAATAGCCTAATACAATGTGTAGCTGAGTTTCTCATGTGTAGTCAGCATTCTTAAGGGCATTTCCACATTGTATACATATGATGTATTAATCAGAGTATGTAAAATATGCTTATAAATAAAAAAAATAAATGGTTTCTCACTAAGTCAAAAAGAAAAAAGCTCATGTTTCCAACAAAAGCAGTATCTTTCTTTCTTTCTCAGTTATTACATTTCCCAAATGGACAGTACAAAAAAATGTTGGCTCACATTAAAACACTAATTTCTTTTTAGCAAAATGGGATTTCAAGGAAATAGTTTAAGAACCAACTTGAAGATGCATATTTCATTTTACTTTATAGACCAGTCTCCCACTTTCTTGATAACACACAAACTGTGAGCCTGAGCCTTCACTGAAGTATTAAGGAAAAAGAGCAAAAACTAAGGGAACTTAATACATGTGAGATGACTTATTTGTAATTATTCACCATGCCTTTGCTCATGGGACAAAGTATAACACTTAAGCATTAAATTCTGCCCAGGGCCCCTCAACCCCCAACTTTGATCCACCCCTTGCTCAGGTGCACTTTTCTATACCACTCAGACATCAACCCCTGAAATTTCCTTGCACCTATTCAGAATCTGATCTTCCTACTCAGGGACATTGACTTCCCTCCCTACTCAATTGCTTTCTCTTAAGTCATAATTATTCCAGCCATCTTCTAAGCCTTTCCATTACAAGGGCTGAAAATATGTCTCTGTTTTCTTGTGAACACTCACTCAGTAGTGATCGGCTTAACCATGTGTAGGTTAGAAATACAAACACAAATGCACATGTCCCATTAAACATTAATTGCTAAATGCAAATTTAAAGCCCAAGGAGGAGGCCTTAAGGAGAGGGGCCTCCTCCGTGGTGCAAGGGGTTAAATATCAGCACTCTGAAGCTATCGTCAGCTACTGCAGCATGAGTTTAACCCCTGGCCAGGGAGCTGACCCACATGGTGCAGCGGACCTCTCTTGTCTCACCTGCTGCTCCCCTCAGCAGTATATTACATTAGGTTCACCTGTTCTGCTCCCCACACTGTCTCTGGTGAATCCTCTCCCTGCTCCCAGTCCCCCACACCTCTGGCCTGCAACCCAGGTCTTTTGTGCATAAACAAATAAATGTTGTTTTTTTTTAAATAATAAACCCTAAGAAGGAGATATGTTGTCCTTATTACCTCATAATTTTGCAAGACTATAGCACATGATGATGATGATGATAATTACTCTACTTCTACTCCTTGGACAGAGGATACTTGCCTGGGTCATTGATGTTGAGCTTGACCATGTAATTTGCTTCAGTCAATGGAATATTGACAGACACAATGCAAGCAGGCTTTTAAATGTGCTTGCCCAATTTGGCTTGACTGTTGCCTTCAGTGACCTAGTGCTATGAGAAGAGTATGCCTACACGAGCTGTTACTACTTCAGCCCAGTGTCTACAGCAAATGTCTACAGAGTGGATCTAAACCAAATCCAGATTCTAGAAACAAATTTGGCCAACTCACAGCATGAAATAGAACTGTCCAAATGAATGCAATCTAAATAAACTGAGCTTGTCACCTTGGCAATTTATGAGAATGAGAATAATTATGTACTGCAAAACACTATATATTGGCCTAGCTTGTTGTACAGCCTTACTCTGTCAACAAAACTCACTAACAAAAAGTTCTGCTTGTTCATTCCGCTACCAACACCACCTCTTTCAAATCGTGTCTATTTGCACTTAGAGTACAAAAACAGAGCCAGTATTATACGCCTCAATACTGAAAAAAAATTTGTAAAGGTCTTTCTTATCTTAGTTCCCTCTGAAAGCAGAACCTCACATAAGAGATGACTTGTATTGTTTATTTCGGGGATAATAGAAGGATCAGAGGTCACTTACAAGTACCTGTGAGCCAGGAACTCTCAGACTATAAGGGACATTTCAGCTGATATCGGCATTGGTAGAAGTTAATCAGGACAGACAACTTTGCTCTCTTCTTTCACTCATTCCCATCCCAGTCAATACTTTGACACTTCCACTGGCCTCTCTTGAAAGTTACACGTGATCCTGGGTAAGGAATGAAAACTTGATTCCACTAAGAGAAAGGAAACTTTCAAAAGAAACAAAGTTCTGGTATATAAAAAATAATAATTTTTGCTCACCTAGGTTTTAACTTGAAGTTTATGTATTTGTGCCATTTGTATTGCCTGCATATGTTACTGCATATGTTACTGGCTACTTACACGTAGGACATCAGGATTACTCGGTCATCTGCTCTCGACAAGGAGGTGATGAAAGTCATTATGTGTCTCCCATGCTGACGATATGTGTCAGGATGGGAGGAAAAGGCTTTCATATTGCTATTCTGGTCTCAACCATGGTTCTACTTCCAGACAATTTTCCTGGAACTCCACAAAACACTTTCTCATGCCTCCCCACACATATGTATGCTGCATCTCTACATAGCCCCAGAGTGTAGGTAACTTCCTTGATTATTGGACTGGGGAGGAGGATATAAAGGTCAAAGGAATTCTTCCCCATGGAAGAAGGTAGGAGAAAACATTCTCCTATTTGTCCTGCAGATGGTCATTTTCCCTTTTACTCTCAGGCCCTTTATTCCTGACCCTAGCAGTGCCCTGGCAGATAGATAATTTTTAAATTATCTACATGATGTTTTGATGTGAGGGGAGTGAGCTTCAGGCTTGATTCTACCTTGAGCTCTCTCTAGTTCCTTCTTGTGTAATCATTTCCTCTTTTCTAGACATCACTAGGGCCCAGACCAAAACTTATACTTGGGGAGGGTCCAGTTGTCCCCCTATTTCATAAGCAATTCTTGGTTTACAGTCACGACCATAGAAATGAGTGTTAACTTGAGTGTTCCACAGTAGTGGAAGTGATACCAGAGGGTTTTGAATAAGGAGATATTCTTGGATAGTATGGATTTTGTTGTTTTTTAAAAAAAAAAAAAGATTTATTTTTATGTATTTGTGCACACAAGAATTGGAGTGTAGGTTAGAGTTGGAGGGGGGCAGTGAAATGGTTCACCAGAGACAGAGTGCGGGGCAGAACAGGTGGACTAACTGAAAGACACTGTTGAGGGGAGAAGCAGAGTTCTGCTGTGCCATTCAGGTAAGCCCCCTACCTGGGGATCGAACTCAAGCCATAGCAGCTGTCAATAGGATCACTTGATAGCTTGATACTTGTTGCCTCTGCCACCAGGGAGACCCAGACAGTATTGATTTGAACCTAAAGTTGAAGAAGGACTTGTAATTAAAGAAAAATGTATAGGTTGTTTCAAATTCTCTTGTCAGAAAAAAACAGAATGAAGCCCACCAGTGAGATTTCATCCATCCCAGCAGCCCTCTCAAAGATGGATCAAGTCCGCCAGGGTATGCTTACATTCAAGCCCTGACTCTGGTCATTTTCACCAGCATTTCCTGTGCTTTCAATACATGAATGGATCGTCCCAATTCTCTTGTCACACTGATAATGATGCTATTTTTATTTAGAAACCAAAAAAGCCACAAGTTTTAGGTTTATCATTGTGTTGCTATAAATTGCATTAGTCTAATAACTAAAGGGCAAAAATAATCTGAACTTGTAACAGTAACACAAAGTGGGTAGAGATGTGGGTTCTTGGGTCAGCCACCATGACTTTGAATCTTGGCTTGACCATCTAGCTTGTGTGTCTTTGAGCAGGTTACTTCATCCCGTGGGACTTTATTTCCTCCTTTGTAACAATGAGGTCTACCCCTGATAGGTTTACTGTTAAGATTAAATAAGATAATGCAGATAAATAATTTAGCATGGTTCCTGTACCTAGTAAATATCCAATAAATGTTAGTGTTTATTATTAATGAGTTTGTTCTTATTATTACTGTGGAGTTGTGAAAAGAAAATGGACTTTAGAGACAAATAGATTTGAATTTGAAGCTCTTCCCCACAAATTCAATAAAGGAGAAAATAATTAGAATCAATGAAGAAGATGGTAACGATAAATTGTGTCAAGCCAAGATGGTGTTGCTGTGGGAATTGTCAAACTAATGTGAACCTTTACCTACGAGTACATGGGAAACCATTTAGTCTTAGCCAGTGTAGACTGGCTGCAATGAGAAGTTCAAATGACAGTGGAGATTCTAAAAGCTGTTAGGCAAAGCAAAGGAAAGCCAAAGGCAACAAATGAAGGGAAAGAACATGCTGAAATAATTAGTCTCACGTCCAATCATTGTTTTGTGTAACACTATGGAGTCCAGTTTCCAAATATAAATATTTTATAAAGCAGTGAGAGGTGTTGATGTTTACAATAATGAAAAGCAATGAGTTTTAACTATATCAAAACACTGAGCATTGTTTCTTTGAACTCTCACAAGAATTGCAACTGTCCCTATTCTGTAGATTAGAAAATTGAGGCAATGTGTGGCCACTGTGGTTTGTTTAAGGTCATACAGAGAGCAAGT